CATGAAAAAACATTATATTTCAAAGGGTTTGCAGGTGTTTTGATACACCCCGCAGTCGCAATTAAAGCTAGCCATGGCCGACTGGTCATGCATGCATGCTGTACTTATGAATCTGCATCTATATATAGGTTAAAGACAACACATTTCTAAACTAATGAAAATCATTAAACATGTGCATAGCATAACCTATTGCTGTGACTGGCTGCGCCACTGCCAACTTCAAAGGACAGGTTCAGACCATTCTTATATAAAAGAAAAACCGCTTTTGTTCATAGGTTCTGAACTTCCTAGTCAAAATCAATGACAAATTTACTACGCTTCATCAAATTATATTTTTGTTAAAGCATGCATCCAATCTTCAACTCGAGGTCATGTCAAATATACTCTATGATCAATAACTTGTTCGCCGTAAACCGCCACAAAAATTGAGATATATTCAAAAACCGTCTTCTCAAATGCGCCAAAACCTTCTTCCCACCAAATTAAAATAGACCCCCTACTGCACGAACGTGACATACTGACGTATTGATGCCAGCAGTTATAATATGCAAATCAAAGAGAAAACTGCAGTTGTGCTTTAGCTGTCAACCTGATAGGTGCTCCGTGCTCTGAAAACTTTATACAGAACTATAACAAAATTGATCAAAATTCGGTGAGTAAAATTACATAATAATTATGCTATACTTCTTTTCTCAATCATTAGCCGAAAATTACTGATCTCAATAATGCTTGGATCCAACTGTGCATGAAGCTATACAAATGTGGGAAAACACTATATTTTTTTAAATTAAAGAGTTAGTAAGTTATATAATATGCACGTTAGTTATATAGATATGGTTTATAAGATACTGTATGTTTCGTTAGTTGAATTATATATCACTTGTTCAGAATGCAGCAGTTGTACTGTGTTGTATTCTAGCTTAATTGGGGGTCTATTATAGTTTGCAGTTAAGCGGTTCTGGCGCATTGGAGAGGGCGCGGTTTTCGGATATATCACAATTTTTCTGGCGGTTTACGGTGAAGAAATAACCACTCAGTAATTCAGTGCAAATCGTTGAGCGTAGATTACATTACATAACTCATAAGCTCCATTTGAAGATTGGCCGCCAGTTCACAAAAATAAAATCTATTAATAAAGCGTAGTAAATGTGTCATTGAAAAAATGTAAATATGGATAGGTTTTCATAAATAAAGTTTTTTATGCGTTTATACTTGTTTATTATTCTTCAAATAGCCTGCATGGATCTTCACCAGTGTATTAAATTATTATAGCACCAATGGACTTGGGTCAAAAGCTTCGCCAAAGCTGAGACAAAAAAATTAACGTGTCCACAAAACAAAATACAACAATTATATTTATTTTTACTATGCAAATTACCCACAAAGTGAAGGATCTTATTGCGCTTTACAATTCGAACTTTAAACAGCCAATCAACGTTTAATTGTAATTCTTTATACCTTGTAAACATGCAAAAATATGTAGGTGGGTCGTTAGACGTTAGTGAGAGTGGCCGATATACGAATTTTTTATGCGATTCCACAGTTCGGTGACTTTCGTAATATTTGCCCATGGGCATTGCCATGAAAATAGGCGAGTTTACTGCAATGTCAATAGCAACGAAATTCAAGTCAGAATTGTAGGCAGAAAGAGCATGTGAAACTATAAAATAAGTTTACTGGACAACTTTTCTAGCTTATTTTTTTTTCGCTCTCGAGATAGTTTAGTTTCATTTGATATGTAAATGAAATAAATCTATGGCATTAAGAGCAAGTAAAATATTAGTTTCAAAGGGACAAAGAAAGGTAGCAGTCTCGTCAAAGGTTCGAAAATGATGAAATAATTCAAGCTATATATATATATTGTTGATTCTTTTCACCAACGTGTATACAGAAAGTTATTGGTAGCCGTGTTTTGACCTACACCCCGCAGTCGCAATTAAAGCTAGCCATGGCCGACTGGTCATGCATGCTATACTTATGAATCTGCATCTATATATAGGTTAAAAAAATTGCGGTTGCCATAGAGTATTTTAATAAAACACAAAACAGTAGACACTCCGAAAATTGTAAACATTTTAATTCTTTACGTTTCGATTATAATTTAAGTCATCTTCAGAAGAATGCCACCACGTATTTCGAAAAGCCAACTATTTATAAGCTAGATGCTTGCGTGTTCAAAGTTTGATAACGTCATTATAAATATTATTATTATTAATATTAATATTATTATTAGCTTATAAATAGTTGGCTTTTCGAAATACGTGGCATTCTTCTGAAGATGACTTATAGTCGAAACGTAAAGAATTAAAATGTTTACAATTTTCGGAGTGTCTATTGTTTTGTGTTTTATTAATATAGGTTAAAGACAACACATTTCTAAAGGTTTGAACTAATGAAAATCATTAAACATGTGCATAGCATAACCTGTTGCTGTGACTGGCTGCGCCACTGCCGACTTCAAAGGACAGGTTGAGACCATTCTTATATTAAAAGAAAAACCGCTTTTATTCATAGGTCAGAACCTAGTCAAAATCAATGACAAATTTGTTAAAGCATCCAATCTTCAACTCGAGGTTATGTCAAATATAGTCTATGATCAATAACTTCTTCTTCTTCGAGATATATTCAAAAACCGTCCTCCCAAATGCGCCAAAACCTTCTTCCCACCAAATTAAAATAGACCCCCTACTGCACGAACGTGACATACTGACGTATTGATGCCAGCAGTTATAATATGCAAATCAAAGAGAAAACTGCAGTTGTGCTTTAGTTGTCAACTTTCGGATGTATCACAATTTTCTTGGCGGTTTACGGTGAACAAAAAGTAATAATCACTCAGTAATTCAGTGAAAATCGTTGAGCATAGACTATATTACCGGGTATCCCAAAGAAAAGTACTCCGGTTTGATTCGTAATAACTTCTAAACAATAAAGCTTTTAAAGAGAAATAACTTGCATCAAATAGAGGAAGGACTAACTTAGATCTTGATATGTTACAGTTGTATTTCACTTAAAAATTCACGGAGATATTAATGTTTAAATCGGTTAAAATTGGATGTGTTTGAAATGTGCAAACAACGGCGTATCAAATATTAATCAAAATTTGCCCGACTGAAACGTGCACTATTACCAGTAAATAAATGACACTTGACAAACTGTTTATTATGAAACAAAGTATTATTATCTACTGAAAATACAAGCAAGATATTTTCGTCCGAAATCAGCGTGTGTTTCTAGCACGAATACGTTTCCTTATTTCATGAGACCATTGCATCGCGAAGGATCGTCATGGATCGTTCGTAGTTCTGAATTAGGCCATGCTGTCACAATGGAATTGTGAAGCTCTTCTATAGATCTAACTTCTGCAACGTTCTGAAATCTTGTTAAGAACACCCAAACTCTTTTGCCTTTTCTTAATCTTGGCAAGTTCAGAATAAACTGAGAATGAAACACAATCAAACCATACAACTCCATAAGACATAACAAGCAACTCCCCAGAGACATCCAACATTTTTGGAACAAAACGTAACAAAATAGTAGCGTTGATACTGTGATGTGTATTTACAAAAAGCAATATTATTTATTTCCTTCATTAAAGAATAATATTCGTCCTGCTCTAACCGAGAAATAATCAACTTTGTTTTGAACCCATGAAAAACATTAAAAAAATTAGGAGAATTTAAGAAAATTTAAGCGTCTGCCTTGCATGGTCTTTCATGTACCTTTAAGTTTGTAAAGACCTTTTAAATACTTGCATAATTTCGAACGTTCATATTTCAGGAAACAATGAGCTAAGACTTACATGTAAGATGTCTAAATCTACGCCATATCCCTTACAAACCCTAACGACAATTCGCTGAAATACAATTAGTTAGCCTGGTATGTCATTAAGCAAACAAACGCTGGAGTAAATATTTGATATGCCGATTTTCGCTAATTTTAGACACATCCCAAAATATGCTCCCGATTTTGAACATTACAATATGTCCGTGAATTTTGAAGTAAAATACAACTGTAACATATCAAAATCTAAGTTAGGCCTTCCTCTGTTTAATGCAAGTTATTTCTGTTTGATAGCTTTACTTGTTTAGAAGTTATTATAAATCAAACCAGAGTACTTTTTTTTGGGACACCCGGTACATAACTCATAAGCTCCATTTAAAGATCGGCCGTCAGTTAACAAAAATAAAATCTAATGAGTAATGAAGCATAGTAAATTTGTCATTGAGTCAGGCTATCTGATATATAAAATGGTCGAAACCAGCTGCATATGAAGAAAAAATGGTCGAAACCAACTGCATGTGAAGAAAAAATAGTCGAAACCAGCTGCATGTGAAGTACATTGCTAATACTGGGGCTAAGCTTAAAACTAAAATTATAGCAAAATACAAAATGGCTTACTATGCAGTGTTGAAACTGTCAATTTATTACTGTTATTATCTGAAAGTGTCAATCATGGGATGATTATAAAAAGCTGTAGCGGTACTTTAACAAACGGAAATTATATTAGATGAAAAAAATATATTGAACGGTTTACTGCTGACTACTTCGAAATTTTCCTTGTATCTTTCAGGTAGTGGTACCCCTATCAATCCGAAGCTTTCTTATTAAATGAAAACCAATTGTTTTTCAACAAATTAAATGATTTTAAGACGAAAATGCGTTGCCTGGAACAGAGTGTTGGCTTGGACTACCAGAGCCATAGTAATCTGTACTTGATTTAACATGATTTTATGTTTACATGTTGCACCCATAGATATCTTATATACACTAGATAGTACGTCTAATTATTCTGCAATTCAAAAATTGAAGCCGTGATTGCAGACTCAGGATATTCCCATAAAATGAGAAGATTCGTATGTTTTCTATTTCTTAAACAGGGAACTTAAACATTAAGTTATCAATCAATCAATCAATCAATCTGTTTAATTAAAACCAATTTGCAGTTTTTAAAGGAAAACTGAATTACATGGAGTACTAATATAGCATAAAAATTTATATTAAAATGTACATATATATATATTATATAAAATTTGGGTCAAAGGGTTGTAGGGTGAAACATCACGTCGCAGAGATTCGACGAATTTCTTGCAAGAGATGTCTCTACGAGTACTCAGATACTGTAAGTTTGAAATTTCAAGGGCTTCATCATATAACAGATCTAGATAAGCTATTCTCAATGCTCTCTTTTGAACAGATTCGAGAATGTCAGATAATGATTTAGGTATTGACGACCATACAGGGGATGCATATTCAATTCTGGATCTGATGAATGAGATATATATTTGGACGATGTGAGATGCTTGAAGACCAGCCTTTTTTAACAGACGCAATGCGTATAAGCGAGAATTTGCCTTTTTCAATACCATGTCGACATGAGTATTCCATGACAAGTCGTTTGATATCCATACACCTAGGAGTTTGAAAGAGGACACAGTTTCCACCGGTTTACCTGCAACATAGATCGGGTTTTCATCATCAGATCCTTTATATTTAAGAAAGTTGATCAACATTTGTTTGCATTTCTTATAATTTAGTTCCATTCCACGTTCTAAGGCGTAGTCCGAGATTTCATTTACGACTAATGGCATTAAACTGGATGAAAAACGTGGTATAATCTCTAGGGCTGAGGTGTCATCCACAAACTTGATCCTACTGGGCCAGTTTTTAAGTAAGGAATTAATGAGAACAGCAAACAATAATGGACCCAACTTTGTACCTTGTGGCAAGCCACCATTTGTTTTCTTCCAAGAGGACATAGAAGTTCCCACCCGGACACATTGTTCGCGATCGCAGAGGAAGGCTTTAATCCACCGAATTATAGAGGGATGGGTACCAAGCAGGGTTAATTCTTTAATAATAACATTGTGGTCTACTAGGTCAAAACCTTTCTTGAAATCTGCAAAGAACAATCTGGCAGTACAGAAACCTCTCTCAAGAGCAACCAAGATTGAATGTAAAAGGTAGACCAAAGCGTGGGTCGTTGATTTCTTTGGGAGTGCAAATTGTTTGGTGTCAAGTTTATTTACAACTTCAGGAAAAAAATTGTCCAAAGTACAATCCTCCATAACTTTGGCGATCTGAGATGTTAAAGATATTGGTCGTAGGTCGTCTTCAATACTCTTTGGGGGTGATACCTTAGGGACAGGCACTACAATAGATCTCTTCAATGCCTTGGGAAGGTGCCTTGTGTCATGGATGAGTATATATATATATATATATATATATATATA